ACCAATAAATGACTTTGGAAAAAAAAATTACCAAAAAGAATACAAGAGGTTCAATAACATTCAAATCCTTTCACACTTACATGTTTCCATTCGAACTTTTATGTGGCATAAATTCAAATTAATCGAACTAATGAATTTTGAAGACAATGAATGAAAAATATTATAAAAGGATTTTGTTGAAAGGATTAATTTGGATCAACAAATTTATTTCCCCCTCTCATATATTGTTGATAGTAGTAAAAAGAAGGATAGAGTTTGATGAAGAGATGAGAGTGAAGTGAGAGGGAACACATGTATAATTTATAAGAATTTAAAATCTTTGTGATGCTTGTGTTTTAAAAAAAAAAGGAAAAATAATAATAATTACGGGTCTAATCATTCTGTCATCTAATTTATAAAATATGTATAAAGTTTATATATAACTTATACATTAATATATTTGATTATATTGATAAATTAAATGGTTGAAAGGTATATATTAATAACTATATCCTAAAAAATACTTGCACACTCAAATATCTTCTAAGAAAATTATAGACAAATCTCTATAATAATTAAACTAGTAACTACTTGCATTGATGCTATATAGATGCGATAATAAGTTAATTTAGTGGGCAAAACCTAATTTTCCATTAAAAGAATTCAAAATATAAAAAAGAAAACGAAGCTTAAACACAAATATAGTATATATATGTACATAAATCATAAAAATTGATATATTTATATAGTGTAATTTTGCGAACGGAAAAAATATTAATTGACTTTTCTTGAACAATGATAGCTGTGCCACTAGATTACTTTAATGTGGATCATGTAAAAATTGGCATAATATATAAACATGTCATTTAACTTTTCGTTAGTAAGTATCCGTGTCTTCCAACTATAGATGTGCACGAGTAAACGCTTAAATTTGTACAAAATTGAACAAGTAAACACATACATTATATGTGGTGTCTTATGTAGCAATTCATGTCCTCCATGACATTATATATATATATATATATATATATATATATATTATGTCATATAAAGTGTGT